TTTTTTTTTTTTGGAAAGATGTAGGAGCTGGGAGGAATAAATCCGAAGGGGAAGAGCTTCTCAAGGTTGACAAAAAGAAGAAGAATATCAAATGGAAAAGAATACCAAAATTTTGATACAAAATTGTAAAAATTTTAGAAAGTATTCTTACTTTGTTATCAACAACTTTTTTCACATATGTATTTCTTTGATCGATCTTAGGATGTGAAAAAAAAAGCAACATTTTTATTGCTTTTCTATCTGATTACAGCTCTATAAATGACATATTTTGCTGAAATGTAAACCAGGATATGTATGAGGATATTTGAAGTAGTTAAGGACAGAAAAGAAAAAAACGATTTTTCAACTGTTTTTGTTTTTTACTGAACAAGAATTACTTTGATTAAAACTTTGTTTTGCTGTATATTTTGATACAGTCGTTCTTCCTATTTGCGATAGTTAACAGAAATTTACTGAACTATAATTTTATTGAGCTCAAATAATTATTAAAGTAAAAAACCAAAGCACTTTTCTTGCTTGTCCTCTTTAGAGGGAGAGACGTAAGACTAATTACAAATGTAGTTCTCGAGTGGGTCAAACAAGTAAAATAAAAATTTGCCTACCTGTTGTTTCGTCAATAATGATGACAAGTTTTTGAACTAAAAAATAAATAGTTTTAAAAAAGTTGTTTTTATTGTTCACATCGAATTTTTCTTTTTTTGGGAGGGAGGGGGGGGAGGGGGGAAGCGCAGGTGTGGAAAAAAACAAAAAGCAAACGATGAAAGCTGTAAGAAGCTGTGTAGTAATTTGGATATTTGGTGCAACTCTGTATTTGCAGAACAGTTTGTTTGAATAAAGGATAACCGAGAGCAGCTTTTTGTGGGACTGTATAGCAAAGTACTCTTAGCCTGTAGTCAGCAACGATACGCTTCCTCGTTTATCCGACAACTGTAACTATGAGTTACAAACACAAGAAAAGTTTCGCTTTTGAACCTCTTTTTATGGGAAATTGAGAATGGAGAAAAGAGAAGGAGCTGGAAAGAGGGAGAAGGGGAGGAGCTGCATATTTCGTTGTGATGTGAAAGGAACTGTTGGTGTCGTTCCGTCAGTCCAGTCACTAATTAACTCTGTTGACAAGCCTGCGTCGGACTCAGTACCGTTGTTCACTACCATCTAACCGATGACTGCGTACTGTCGCCTTTTTTAAAATGTTTCGACAAAGATTGCTCAAACGTGGTTTTACTTCAATTTCACGATATCGTTTATCTGTGCTGCCACTTTAATTTCTTTCTTTTTCTTTCTGCCACCTGAATTACATCCAATTCTGCGCAGTTTTTTAGCTTTCAGTAGCAACAGTCTTAGTTTTGCGCTAAATAAGCATCAGTGACTGAAGTTCAGTTGTCACCTAGTTGTACTGTATTTGTGCAGATTATACTTAGTTCTTTATGGAGAAAAACACCGCATTTCCTTATAAGAACAGAATAATATTATGTGGAATCTTGTTTACTAAATTACTTACTTAATTCATTGGATTCTTGCGTAATTTTACAATTTAGGAAGTTTGTTGGCAATTCACAAAAGGAGAACCAGATTTATCAAAAACCATCGCTATTTGCATACTGAATATCGACGTTGGTGATGACGATGACGATAATCAACTGGTTGTTCTTAGCAATTCTATATGACATGATGTTGGCGCAAACAGGTAAATTTTTTTTTTCTTATCGTCAGCCTAGCACTTCTATAGTATCACGGCTGAAAGCGCTACCGTTTATTCAGTCTTTTTTCCAGGTTACTGTGTTTGTTCAACTTGTTTAACTGTTTTCTTTAATTTTTACTTTTCTGCTAAGAAGGCATCACCTAATATCATACCTATGGATCTAGCATAATGACTCAGCAATGTCTGTCAACTTCCGTTTTATTATAATCAATGTTGCTAAGTTGAGCATTTTTGAAGATGACAGAAATATCATCACAGCTTTGGTTTGTTTCACCTGTTGTATCACATATGCAACCCCTGTTATTTTATTATAACTAAATGTATTCGTACTGAAAATAATTGCAAAGAAGACTTTTTACAGTCGTTGTGTTTTGCCAAATCTTTTTTTCTATGTTCTTTTTTTAAAAAATTTTGCAAATTCAATGGAAACATTGTGATGTGAAGTTTGCTGTTTGAATTCTTTTATCGTCAAATTAAAAATTTGTTAAATCGAATAATATTGGGCAGGTTCATTGATAACTAAGGAGAAGAGATTTAATGTGTTTCCAACTGGTAGTGAATAGGTTATCTGACAACGATAAAGCGGGTTTTTCATAGGTATATGATAAGAGTAAATTTTTTATCTTACAAAACTCGTTTCTTTTCATCTGTATCCTGTTTGTTAGTCATCTTCAAAAATAGAAAACATTGAAGGGTATGCAACAGTCTCTTTTTTAATCATGATTTTCTTGTAATTAAGTGTTAAGCAATACAATTTGGGTTTAGGTGTAATGTTTTTCTTTGTATTTTTTATTTCATTTTATTGTATTCTGCGTCTATTAACAATTTTTCGATTAGTGAAATCGTAGGTTTGTCCTTGGCGATACCAATTAATGACTGTCGATGATAGAGGTTGGCATTGATCAGCCCAACAGTTTTATACCGTTACTTTTTCTCTTGATCAACACTTTTATTTTTCTTCTTTTTTGCTGAATTTATCTTTTTATTCTGCAACTAAGTATCAAAAAATATTCGTAACTAATTTGTTGTTGTTGGCACTTTCATTAGTATTGATGTCTTTATTGCTATCGTCAGTGTTAAATTTCAATGTTGACCAAAAAAAATTTTTTTCTCAAGTAATCGACAGCATGATCTTGATAATTTGATCTAATTTTTAAACTTTTTTGTCTTCTATTTTATCAGTGTATTAACTTTACAAAACACTAATAGCTTACTGCCAAATAAATTTTATTCCTATAAACAACAAAATTTTTTGATAGAAGAATACTGCACATAACAGCGTGCTGATGAATGTTTATTAATTAGAAATACCAACTTTAATATATTAATTAGATCAAATTTTCTTGAATTTAATTGCTTTTTTTGCTGGTCGATTTTTGGTTAAAAAAATCTTATTATATACCATCTAATTTCTGATGAGTTTTATGTCCCATTGTTCTTCTATCTTTTCACTAAATAGAAGGCTTTTTCGATAAGCAGGTCTGACTGAGTAGTTCACAATTTGAATAAATTTTGTTCACACTATGCTGCTGCTTATTAAGCGAGCGGGTAGGTTTTGAAATTTGCTCTGAAAAGTGTTCGAAAGTGTAAATTAGCGCGTTATCTACCGCACAACTACTAAAAGTAAGAGTTTGGATATGCTAAATGGAACGAATCATTAGTTTAGTACGATAATGGATCATGCAAAAATGCATCATGTGGGCAATAGTGATACAACTCAGCATGATATGACCAGTATGGATCATTCTACCACTATTCATGGAAATATGAACAGCATGGGACATTCAATGTCTATGACATTCCACTTCGGTGTTAATGAGGTCATACTTTTTGATTCATGGAAAGTTTCCAGTGCCGGATGTAAGTTGTTTGCCATTTAATTTTAGTTAAATAATTAAAATAGCCATAGTCAAGCGTGAACAATCATTCTGCTAAATTGTATGCTAAAAAAAAAAATAAATTTTTTGTTAGAAAAAGAGAAACAAAAGAAAACAAGAAGAATGAGCGCGTGAAACGTAGCTTTTAGCCATGATATGGACCTGCGCAGTAACAGTCGTTTTTTGTTTTGTTATGGAAGCACTTCGTTGGTACCGAAAGTTTAACATGGCTGGTGATGACTGTCCAAGAAGTAGAACTTTACGGGAAACAAATGGAGAAAGGAAAAGGTAAGGTTTGTAATGATATCAGCTGAAAAACCACTGAATTACGAAACAGTGAAAGAAAAAGAAATATTTAAAAAAAATTTTTTTTGCTTACATCTGTTCCTCTATATGCCTGTTTAGGATTGGCACACCAAGAATAACAATGAGGATCTGTCTGGATTCACTGCTTTTAATGTTTCAGTTAACTTTGAGCTATATCTTGATGCTTTTGGTAATGACATTCAACCTCTGGATCTGTTTTGCTTGTATATTTGGTGAAGTTTCTGCTCAACTCTTTTTCAACATTCTTTTGCCATTGGAAAGAGATGTCGCGAAGGTACGGTTCATGCACAAGCAGTTTTAAGTTACGGTATAAAACAAGCATTTGAATATATTTTTTCATTAAACAAAAGTTAGTAATGATAAAAAAGTAGAGGGGATGCTCAAGACAAGGGAAAGACTTACATATAATTAGGTTTCTTAAGACCTTTCAGGAAAGACTTATTTTTCATGGATTATTTATGTCATAATTTTATTGACTACAAATTATGTGCTCTCAGTACTTTACGCAGAGTTCGCTTGTTAGGGCAGCAGATCGCAGTATGGCAGCTGCTCTACTGCTTACTACACTTCAATCATTGTCCTCGATGTGCAACTCACTAGGTGCCTCAGCACCGTACCAGTTTGATCCAGCTTTAACGACCAAGCAACCTCTCAGCCAATTGGCTAGGACATCAAAAGGAGCATTATTGCAATAAATCAGTTACATAACATTTGCCTACCCAGCATGAGGTCATCGTTTATCCTTAGGCGAGATCCTATCATAGAAGCTTTCAGCTATATTCCCGCAGATGGTGACCTCAAACCAGTAAGGTATCCGCTGGGTACATGTACTCATTATCGCAACCTGCCGTTCCTCTCGTATTGGGTAAGATTACAAGCACAGTGAAGGTCAAGGTGGGTAAAATCAACCTGTCTTACGAAGGTCTAAACCTAGCTGACGTCCCCTACTGGTGAGTGAAAAATCTAACGTTTGGCGAATTCCGTTTCGCAATGACAAGAAGAGCCGACAGTGAAGGATTAAAAAGCAACGTTGTTATGGACAAGTGGTTATTATACGCCAGTTGTCCCCATAGTGACTCTTCTGGAACCTCCTACTAGAAGCTTTCTAATATAAAAGGATCAATTGGCTTCGCTTTTGCCGTGCGCACTTACGCTGAAAATCAAAACTTAGCGAGCTTTTGCCTTTTTTACTCTACGAGAAGTCATTGGCCTCTTTCAGCAAGCCCTAAGACACTCTCATCATTATTTGACAGACGTACTGCCCAAGTCAAACTCCTTGTCTGACACTGTTATAGAGGTGTGTCGTGCAACCATCGAGCGACCGGTACAAAGTTCATTGTTATGACTCAGGTCTTGTTTAACTGAACAAGTGAAGAGTCGACGAAAGTAATGTTGTTTCACTACCGTAAACCCTCCACTCATGCAGCATCTCTCATAACCCACCTCAGTGTCAGAATAGAGTTGAGCTCAAGAGAATCTTTTTTCGCGCTGTGTTTTCCAAACCTGTCCCCTTGGCTGTGGTTTCGTTGGATGGTGGATAGGAGCAGTGGGAATTACGTTTACTCACTCATGCTTGTCAGTAAATAGACTTGATGCAGTCAATTAACTTTAGAGGTAGGAGCCTCCTGGCCGCTCTAATACGGACGGCAATTTCATTGAAAAAGTTTAATTTGAATAGCTTCTGAGGTACTCGGGGTTGGAAATTCCAAAATCCTCACCTACCTCCAAAAGAAGCCCTATGCAACGCATGTTAGTTTCTTACTTAGCCTAACCTAGCCTGAGTCTTTACGTTAGTTGTATCCGGGGAAGTGCGTCTACTCTAGCTTACCTAGTGCATGCATACTCTGCGTTGCCTGTATTCCTCTTCATTTCCCGCGGTGCTTTAACTACTTCGTTGTTTACACCTGAAAAGATTCTCTTAGTTAGTTTCTTAATAGTCTTTGGTTAGTGTTTTTAACAGAATCAGTATGACTTGAAATATTTTATTACTTATTTCATTATTCTGTTGCTGAGTAGTTTTTAATTGTGCGTGTTGTGTGGATGACTACCTTTTGGGATAGTTTTTGAGCCATCTTCTTCAGAACCTTTTGGTTTATTCTTGAAAGCTCTTTCAGGGAACATTTAGTTTGCGTAGTGATTTCCTCCGTGGTCCCGATAACAACTAGTATAAAAATTACATTCATTTTATACTCAGTCCACATGCAGTTCATGAGGTTTGGCCTCGGCTAGTTTACTCCCATTGCTTCGTCATCCTTCGTCCTCAAGTTGATCGTGTACTTGTTAGATTTAATTGGATGCTGCTTATCTATGTCTGCTGCGTGGGCCATCTGTATTTCAAATACGCAAATGTGCTTATTCTTATCACCTATTCTTATTAGGTCTGGTTTACGGTGGTCTATAATATGTTGCTTCTGGACGGCTACACTTCAAGAAAGCTCAGAGCTACCACTCTTCGTCTGGTCTGGGATCTCCTGACTGTAATGAACAATCGGGAGCCCGAACTTTGGCGCCAAATAGTAGCAAACTACTCTCAAAGCTGCATCATACCTATCTGCGGAGAAACTGAAAATTCACTTGTTGCATGTTGGGATGACATACTTGGTGGTTTCGCACCCTTACAGCACTGCTTGTTTAGGTTGCTCTGGCTACTATTTGCTAAGCGCCTTAGTGCCGTAGCTGCTGCGCTAAACCTGATGAAAATGTTGTTCGCCTGTATTCTTAAGACTACTCTAGTTTTTACAGAAAATGCAGCCACGTTTAGCCGGATAAAGCGGGGGCAGTGGTTGATGTCCTCCAGGTGGTGAAATTTCCCTGCTACCACCTTACTGCGGCACTCGAGTACGCGTTTTGCCGTTCTGGCTGCTCTAATCTTATCTGTTAAATATCTTCTCAACTTGCGGGTTTGGTTAAAGAAGTTCTTATCGTCGCGAAGGCAGCGGTTGCACCTGATACCTCCACTTCATACCTACCTAGTATTTACCTAGCACCTATTTTAAGGCTGCCCTTACCACTCCTACGAGTGACTTTATTAAAATACCATATAGCTCTCAAAGCGGGTATACTACATAAGTATGTTTGAGACGATAATGCCTGGTTCTTGAGCTCATCCTCCATCGAAGGGCATACTTCCCTTGCGGCGAGATAGATAGGGCTAATGCCCAGTTTGGCACATTTGATTTTCTTCTCTAGTAGTATCACCGTAATCTCAGTGTCTAATTACGCTGCAGTCTTGAGCGAGCCTACTAACTTCATTTTGCTGCCCGCTATCATCATGTACTGAAACAACATTTTGGCGCTGACGGTCTTTGACAGCGCCAGCCTCATCCATCCTAATCTAAATTTTGATGTCTACTACTAGCAGACTGTAGTAGTCCTCAGTGTTGCTAAATGCTGCTTACTACCGAGGTATTTGTATGTACGCGTTTCTCCTAATTTCTTGATACCTGTTAAGCTTCTAGCGATTCTACCTCTACTGAAAATACGCTCAGATTCTGCTCACTTATTTAAATTAAGGTCTAATCCTAGCACTGAAGAGGTCTTACAATACCTGAAAACTTACCTAACTGTTCCGTACCCCTGGCAAATAGCTTCAGGTAGCCCGTATAGAATAGACCAGTGTGCTGGATCGTCTTCACCGTCGCCTGTCCAGAACCCGATTCGTTCTTGGGTCCAAACTGATTTAGGCCGTTTGAAATTGAAGCTACTACTGAGACGATATATTTTAGACAGGACCTGGCGTTTCCTGATAATAACTTTTTTAACGACTCCTTACATCCTCATAATGTCTTCATAGCTTAAGAAAATTTGAAAATACACTCGACTGTATCTTATGATAGCTTTAAATGCAGTTGATTCTAATTAACAGGAAATTACTTGTTATTCCATAGCCAAGATTGTGCCCTGAGACCCTAAATATCCTACTGAAACAAATGCAAACCTTTTATTCTGCATATGAAGAGCATATTGTTATTATACTTCAATAACTTTACAAGTCAGAGATCAAGATTTATCGTTTGCATAGAGCTTTAAACAACTAAGGATTTCGTCAAAATTGATCAATAATGATGACATTGAACAGCTAGAAAGAAATCAATGTAAATTTCCTACGTTAATAATGTGACCTTATATTACATAAATACATATTAAAAGAATTCTATTACTAACTTTTATTTCGTCAAACTTGTGAGAAGGGCGTAAATACCAAACAGTTAAAAAGAAAAGTTGTTGGAAAAGACACCGGTAGGTATTCCCAATTTAGCTTAGAGGGTGATCGCATTCTTTCATTTACCAGTAGTATTGTGTTAACTATCGTCATTCATGGAATGCTAATGCATTAACAGCATTATATAATATGAACGAATGTTGGCCCATCTCTAATTATAAAGGTGATTTTTAGGAAGAAACTGTTTCAACGTGCTGCAATTAGGCCGATAGTCCATGAAAACAATTTTGCCAGTGCAGATGTGAGTGCGGATGATTGGTCCAAATGTACCAGGGACTGAAACATGTACGACATTGCGTTTTCTATTCGTATTGATACTGTTCGCC